TCAGGCCTGGAAAACCAATGGGAAGGGAGGTTTGGGGAAGGAGAGAGCTCTGAGAGGCAAATCTATACCCAAATGGAAATATAGATACCCATGGCTTTGGCTGAGAATATTTATTATTATTACTTCAAAGAATAAAAATCTGATTAAGCTATTAACAAAATCATAAGTTACACAATAGAAAGAGATCATCTAATATACTTGTCTTAGAAAAGAGCCACATAAACTGCTCAGGTAAATTAGAATTTGCTTGGTAGAGAATTGGCATTATCCCTTAAATTTCTCTCCCTTCCTTTCTTGAATTCTGTATTGTTCTGAAAATCTCCTTTAATCCCTTTAGCAGTAGAGACTACTCAATCATATGCTCTTTAAAAATCTTACATGTGTTTTGTTTGTATTTCAAGTATTCATGTATAAAAATACATCCTCTGGCATTTAGTGATTTTTCACCTGATTAGAGTGGATCAAGTGAAAACTATTGCATTTGTCTTATCTCCAAATGACCATTGTTAAGCAACATTTACTAGTATCCAGTGTCCTCTAAGTACTCTACTAGATATATGCATTTTATAGTATACTAGTGGCCTGGTACACGAAATTCGTGCCTGGAGGGGTATACCTCAGCCCAGCCTGCACACTCTCCAATCTGGGAACCCTGTGGGATCAGGCCTAAACCAGCAGTTGAACCTCCGTCTCGCAATCCGGGACTGCTGGCTCCTAACTGCTCACCTGCCTGCCTGCCGGATCACCCCTAACCACTCTGCTGCTGGCCTGATCAACCGCACTTGCCCGCCCCTGCCAGACTGATTGCCCCCAACTGTCCTTCCTGCCGACCTGATCACCCCCAACTGAGCCCCTGCTACCTGCTCCGCCTGTCTGCCCCCCCACTGGCCTGCTCGCCCTCAATTGCCCTCCCCCACCAGCCTGCTTGCCCGCAAATGCCCTCTCCTGCCGGCCTGATTGCCCCTAACTGCCTCTGCCTCGGCCCCGCCACTATGACTTTGTCTGGAAGTTCGTCCAGAAGGTCTCTGGAAGGTCTCATGGTCTAATTAGCATATTACCCTTTTATTAGTATGGATTGAATATCTGTCAGTACCAGACACTAGCCTCACCTATCAATTCATTCCCCCTGCACAACAGAATTTGGGGGCAGTCATCATCATCATCCCTACCTTACAAATTTATTTTAAAGCCTCAAGTTTATCCTAGATCACACAGTAAATATGTGCTATAATTAGGTTTCAAATCCCATGGGTTGCTTGTCTCCAGCACCCATTCTTTTCCTGCCCTGAAGGCAGAGGACATACAGCTTGAAAGAAACCAAAATGAAATATGGCCAAAATG